ATCCTGGGCTGAATATACATACAGCCTCAGCCAATCCCAAGTAAAGGGGATGACCAGGAGGGGGCTGAGGTGTGTATAAATAGCCTGGGGCCTGGAACAGCAAGCGTCTTGTTCAGGAGGAGAAGACCCAGCCTGAAGGGTTGATGCCCTTTCTGGGCAGATTAGCTGAAGCCTGCAGGAGTGTCATTGAGGTCCCAGCTCAGGGAGACCTGGGGGGCCTGTATAAAGCTGCAGGGGAACAGTCTGGAGAACGTCTGCCTGGAGGGATCACAGTACGGGGTCTGGCTGGAGGGTCACAGTACGGGGTCTGGCTGGAGGGTCACAGTACGGGGTCTGGCTGGAGGGTCACAGTACGGGGTGGGCTGGAGGGTCACAGTACGGGGTCTGGCTGGAGGGTCACAGTACGGGGTCTGGCTGGAGGGTCACAGTATGGGGTCTGGCTGGAGGGTCACAGTACGGGGTCTGGCTGGAGGATCACAGTACGGGGTCTGGCTGGAGGGTCACAGTACGGGGTCTGGCTGGAGGGTCACAGTACGGGGTCTGGCTGGAGGCTCACAGTACGGGGTGTGGCTGGAGGGTCACAGTACGGGGTCTGCTGGCTGGAGGGTCACAGTACAGGGTCTGGCTGGTACTGGAAGGAGACATCCATGTACACAGGGACACAGTGAGTAGGGACACAATGACTGATGGTACCTAACCCTGGGAGGGATTGTTTCAGAGTTGCTGGCTTAGGGCCCCTTCCATAGTGGGAGTCCCCTGAGCTGTATGCCCACTATCTCTTATCATAAGAGGTCCACCCTGAAGAGTTCAGCTTGTGGGGGGTGCAGGGTGGTGCGGCTACAATAACTCACACAGTCAGGTGCAATGGAAGACTTGTAATGCCCCCTGCCTACAACAGAAAGGTCACACAGCGCTTGAGTAGATGAGGATATGGCATCCAGCATGTCACCTTCTCCGGCTGATGTGTGGGGGGGGGGGGGTAAAAGCTTGCCTCCCAAATCCCTCCGAGGTAAGATACAAAATATACTTCCATAGTGTGATCCCGCAAGGTAGATAGAAGAGACACTCACAATATTGAAGAGGACAGCAGGCGTGTCCAGCAATACAAAGCTCCCATGTGTGGTGCTCCTATGGGTTACTGCAGGTCAGGCATCGATCGCTATCCAATATATAAAGTATAAAAAATCCTCCTGCGCTCAATGGAATGATTAATATTATACAGCTGCTGTCACTTAACTAATACCAACAAGTCCAAACAAAAAGAAAACAATAGTGAAGCGCTTATATCTCATGAATAAATAAAAGTGCATTCAAAAAAGGATTATTATAAATCTGATATTCCTGTGTGACAAATCTATATAATGAACACTAATACCTCCCTCTGGTGGGAGAAAAAAAATAGTGCAACCGAATGTAATTAGTGATTCAACACACACTATAAAGAGACCTATTATACCGCGCATAGAATTACAAATTCCAATACATAACCAAATGTGAATAAATTAGTGAATATAAAATGAATTATCCGAATATACTTCCTCGCCTTCTGTATCTCTTCCAAACATTGCCAATTCATTTACCCCTTGTCTTTTTTATGTCGTGCAAAAGACTTTGCTCATCATTCCTATGGCATCATAAGCGTCCGCGCATTGCTTTCTCACAAATGACCCTTCCTAAGCTTAGAGGTGGAATTGGCTTCCCTGACTTTCACCGCTACTACTGGGCATGTCACCTTTCCCGGGTAGTTGATTGGCACGTCCACACTGCCTCCAAGGACTGGATATATATATAGAAGATGCGTGCTCACCCTTACCCCTGGCATCGATTCCTTGGCTTCTGCCGCAGCACACGCCTCATACCCTTCTCACTCACCCTTTGGTGGGGCCTACCTTAAAAACTTTTCGCGTGGCCTGTAAATTTGCATCCATCTCCGAAACTCCCAACCCGTTAACCTCTATTCGTCTCAATCCTGATTTCCCTCCAGGAATGCACAAGGACTTCTTACTGAAATTTTGGCCACATGAACAGATCTTGGTGAAACATTTTCTCCACAAAGGCAAGGTGAAAACACTCAGAGAACTGACTGAAAGTCTGGATGTCCGCAATTTCCCTTTTTGGGCATATTTTCAGATTAGACACTATCTGCTTTCACAGAAACCCCCTTTCGACTGGGGCCGTTCTCTTACCCCTTTTGAAACTATCTGCGCTAAAGCCGAACCACGTAAGCACCTGATCTCGGAGATCTATCCCCTCCTACTGGAGAATCGGACTTATGACTCCCTCCCATCATGTCGTGCGTGGAATAGAGATCTTGAATCTAACCTATTGGACTTAGACTGGGACCGGGTATTTAAGCATTCGCATAAATGCTCCCTCAACGTCTCGACTCAGGAAAATGCTACAAAATAGCCTCGAGATGGTACCGAACCCCTTGGAAAATTCATCGGTTCAACCCCGCTTTCCCCGACAGTTGTTGGAGATGTGGGACCTCAGATGGATCATTCCTTCACATCTGGTGGTCTTGCTCTGTTCTGCAACCGTTTTGGCAAGAAGTACACAGGCTAGTGGTGTCTGTAACTACCTTGCCTGTGGATTTCTCTCCGGCTCAATTCCTCCTCCATCACTCTTCCCTTTCCGGGGGGCAGTATTTCAAATCCTTAGCTATGCACATGATCAATGCAGCCAGACTCTGCATCCCTGTCCTGTGGGGTTCCACACGCCCCCCTTCTATACGCAATTGGCTCACCCGAGTGGGAAAAACGGCAGTTATGGAAGAACTGATTGCGACTGCACTTGATACCCCTACAAAATTTTCCCACACTTGGGCCTGTTGGACTCATTTTCTGACTTCCCCCGCATATCGATCTCTTATGGACCAACCTGTTTGAATTGACTTGGATTCCCTACTGTTGTAACTCAGTTGTATTTGACCCGATGGTGGTCAACATACTCCCCCTCCTCCGTGTTCATCCCACATTTCTTTGACACTAATGTTAATTTAGCCTTCTACCGCACCTGATATGACCCGTATTGATGATCAAATTATTTTTGCAGTCACCCCCTTCCCTCACTCCCTTCTACCTACGTGTTTCCCTCCCCCCCCCCCCCCCCTTTTTTTTTTTTTTTTCTTTTTTCCCCTTTTCTTTCTCTTTCTTTCCTTTGCGCTTCTCTCCTTCCTCTTTTTTTTTTCTCCTCTCATATGCTTGTCCAAGCTCCAGATAATTATCCCGCAGAGCATTAGGCATGATGTCAACATCTTATTCCTTTCCCATTAGCGATTTCCATGACAATTTACCCCCATATACGCTCTCCGCCACCTCCACTATCTCCACCTGTAGTTTGGACTTCTGCTTAGATATTGTACGCACCCTCCTTTCCTCCATAGCACCACACTTTGAGACATTAATGTAGAACGCCTGGTGCCTCCTTGCTCTAATCGTGTGACAAGCACACTGGAATATTGCAGGCACAACCTTGTCGTGGTTTTACTCATCCACTTTGTTCATTTCTGCATTGGATTTCATGCTCTTCTGTATGATATATGTTTTTGCCATATGCCCTATGTTCAACCCGTTTGAAATTTTATTCTGTCTTGTATCAATCTGTGTGTTTGGTTTTCAATAAACACCTCTTTTTTGGAAAAAATAAAATGAATTATCCACATAAAATAGTGCCTAATTCATACACATTTCATAGACATCATAAGTGAAAAAAAAAAAAAAATGTCCATGCATGTGACTCTGTGCTTTTTGAAAAACACACGTGATCTCCACTTCTAGGTGCAAATGATCTCCTCCAAATGGCAGCAATGCCTGCTCACCTCCCCTCCTTGACCCACACAGGGCCCCAAAGCAGTTTCCACCTCAGTGGTGTATCTCCTCTGGCAGACTCCTTATTCCTCCTCCTCTCTTATTCAGACTCATAGAAAGACATAAAACTTTCCATAGTGAAGTATATTTATTAAGAAAGGGTAAAACCACAAATAGTTACACTCACATAGTCCTCTTGGTGAACAGGCGTTCTTACCACAACCTATGGGGAAATCTGCATGCACTGGGGAATCCAATATGGCCGCGGCGTCCGGACATGCGTCACCAGGAATGACGAACCAACGCTGTCAGGAATGGACTGGCCAGCAATAGTGGGACTCAGCTGCCTTATGAGCTGCAGTACCAGGGCTGGCCAGCGGGTGCTCCCAGCAATCAGAGACTCAACCTTGCAGCCAGTCAAACACCTGGAACTAATTATACTGGTGTATTTAAGGGACATTCAGACCTGCAGACTCTGCCTTGGTGTTGTGTTTCTCCTGGGCCCTGTATCCTGTTCCTGCATCCTGTTCCTGGCCCAGTCCCCTGTTCCCACTCGCTGCACCTATCCTGCCTTTAACCCTGTAAAAAAGCCCTCTGTAGCAACTGCTCCCTCCTCTGTCCCATCCTCCAGCTCTTCTCTGTCTCCAGCTGCTCCATTCGTTTGCAGACCTGCGTTTACTTGCAGTGCTCCAGTAGTTAAAACCAGAAAAAAGCGAAAATTCTTTCCAACCAATACCATCCTGCCAGTATCCAAACCGGTGAGCCTGCCTTCCGTGACTCAGCCTGAAGCCTCTACTCAGCATGATGCCTCTCTTCTGCCTGAAGCCTCTACTCGGCCTGAAGCCCCTACTCAGCCTGATGCCTTTACTCAGCCTGATGCCTTTACTCAGCCTGAAGCCTCTACTCAGCCTGAAGCCTCTACTCAGCCTGATGCCTTTACTCAGCCTGATGCCTTTACTCAGCCTGAAGCCTCTACTCAGCCTGAAGCCCCTACTCAGCCTGATGCCTTTACTCAGCCTGAAGCCCCTACTCAGCCTGAAGCCTTTACTCAGCCTGATGCCTTTACTCAGCCTGAAGCCTCTACTCAGCCTGAAGCCTCTACTCAGCCTGATGCCTCTACTCAGCCTGAAGCCTCTACCCAGCATGATGAACTGATCCAGCCTGACGATCCTATTAGGCCTGGTGACCTGATGCCCGCTGTCGAGCCAGACAATCCGGTACCTGATGCCAATTGACTCAGAGCCCGCTGTCGTACCTGGTGACTCGGTGCCCACTGCCTTGCCAGATGACCTGATGCCTGGTGACCCAGTGCCCGCTGTCATACCTGATGACCCGGTGCCCGCTGTCGTGCCAATGACTCGGAGCCCACTGCCTTGCCAGATGACGCGGTGCCCGCTGTCGAGCCAAATGACCTGATGCCTGGTGACCCGATGCCCGCTGTCCAGCCAGACGATTCAATGTCTGCCCCAGTGCCCGCGGTCATGCCAGTTGACTCGGAGCCCACTGCCTTGCCAGATGACCCGAGCGGTGCTCCGCTGTCCGAGCCAAATGACTTGATACCTGGTGACCCGATGCCCGCTGTCCAGTCAGACGATCCAATGGTGACTCGGTGACCGCCGCTTTGCCTGGGGGCCCGAGACCTGTCGCTCCGCCTGGGGGTCCGGCGCCCGCCGCTCCACCTGGGGGTCCGGAGCCCTGCTGCCCCGCCTGGGGGCCTGAGACCTGTCCGCTCCGCCTGAGGGCACGAGACCTGTCGCTCCACCTGGGGGTCCGGCGCCCGCCGCTCCGCCTGAGGGCCCGAGACCTGTCGCTCCGCCTGGGGGTCCGGCGCCCGCCGCTCCGCCTGAGGGCCCGAGACCTGTCGCTCCACCTGGGGGTCCGGCGCCCGCCGCTCCGCCTGAGGGCCCGAAACCTGTCGCTCCACCTGGGGGTCCGGCGCCCGCCGCTCCGCCTGAGGGCCCGAGACCTGTCGCTCCATCTGGGGGTCCGGCGCCCGCCGCTCCGCCTGAGGGCCCGAGACCTGTCGCTCCGCCTGGGGGTCCGGAGCCCGCTGCCCCGCCTGGGGGCCTGATGCCCTGTCGCCCCGCCTGGGGGCCCGATGCCTGTCGCCCCTCCTGGGGGCCCGATGCCTGTCGCCCCTCCTGGGGGCCCGGCGCCCGCCGCTCCGCCTGGGGACCCGATGCCGGTCGCCCCGCCTGGGGACCCGATGCCGGTCGCCCCGCCCGGGGGCCCGATGCCTGTCGCCCCGCCCGGGGGCCCGGTGCCTGGTGCCCCGCCCGGGGGCCCGGTGCCTGCGGCTCCGCCCGGGGGCCCGCTGCCTGCTGCTCCGCCTGGTGGCCCGCTGCCTGCTGCTCCGCCTGGGGGCCCGGTGCCTGCTGCTCCGCCTGGGGGCCCGGTGCCTGCTGCTCCCGCCTGGTGGCCCGCTGCCTGCTGCTTCGCCTGGTAATCCGATGTGCCTCTGCCCAGAGTCCGGCACCGATGTGCCTCTGCCCGGAGTCCGGCCCGATGTGCCTCTGCCCGGAGTCCGGCCCGATGTGCCTCTGCCCGGAGTCCGGCCCGATGTGCCTCTGCCCGGAGTCCTGCCCGATGTGCCTCTGCCCGGAGTCCAGCCCGGTGTGCCTCTGCCCGATGTGCCTCTGCCCGGAGTCCTGCCCAATGTGCCTCTGCCCGGAGTCCTGCCCGGTGTGCCAGTCTTTGATATCCCGCCAGTTACCAGACCCGGGCGGTGGAACATTTTGCCCAGCTAGGACTGTTTGGAGCGTCCTGAGGCCGCTCCTTGAGGAGGGGGGGTACTGTCAAGAATGGACTGGCCAGCAATAGTGGGACTCAGCTGCCTTATGAGCTGCAGTACCAGGGCTGGCCAGCGGGTGCTCCCAGCAATCAGAGACTCAACCTTGCAGCCAGTCAAACACCTGGAACTAATTATACTGGTGTATTTAAGGGACATTCAGACCTGCAACTCTGCCTTGGTGTTGTGTTTTTCCTGGGCCCTGTATCTTGTTCCTGCATCCTGTTCCTGTTCCTGTCTTGTTGCTGACCCGGCTTGATTCTGACCTCTGCTGACTTCTCCTGTTCTGATCCCTGGTTTGTGACCCCGACCATTTTCTGCCTGACCCCCTGTACCTACCTGCCTGTTAGTTGCTGTACCCTGCTCGTGACCTGACTATTCTCCGCTTACTCCCCCTGTACCTACCTGCCCGCACGATATTGACCCGGCCTGCCTGACGACGCTTGCACTGTATGTACTGTTATCTGTGGGTGGTTTGGTTTGTTTGCACTGTGTTATGTTTTAGTATTTGCACTGCGTTTATGTTTGTATTGTTAGTGTTAATAAATTGTTTATAACTTATCTGAAGTCTGCGTTTCCCTGCGTCAGTCACACACCTCTGGTGATACCCGGGAGCCCTGACAGACGCGTTGCGTCACGTGCGTCGTGACTTCATCAGGGTGATGATGGGCATATAGGGGAAATGCGCAGGAAGTGGCTGTGGAAGGGACAGAGTCTAACAGCAGGCTATATAGGACACTTACACTTCTTGGCCCAACCTTCCCGTAATATTCACCTACAACGTCCAATACGAGAGGTTTTGGAGCTGAACGCACCCTCTGTTACTGACCACTCCCTACTTTGGAGCTCCCACAAAGCATACACTAGGGGGGGGTTCTGGTAATATTGGGGGCCACTGCCAAGCATCAGAGGACACGGCAGGGAGTCGCTCTTATAGCTTTGGGTCTCCAGAAGGGGAAGTTGGTGACACTCTCCCCCCCCCTGGACAGATGATGGGCCGGATTTACTAAGAAACGAGTCTACCAGCAGACGCTGACCATTCAGGCACTCAATTCCATCAATTAAGACCTTTCAGTGTTCAGAGAAGCATCTAGCAAGCTGATTGGACAGAGTCTACTTTAACCCCTCGCCTACCGGGCACTGTCACCCCCTTCCTGCCTACCGGGCACTTCTACCCCCTTCCTGCCTACAGGACACTTCTACCCCCTTCCTGCCTACAGGACACTTCTACCCCCTTCCTGCCCAGGGGCCAATTTCCAGCTTTCAGCGCTGTTGCACTTTGAATGATAAATTGCGCGGTCATACAACACTGTACACATATGAAACTTTTATAATGTTTTTCACAGGGGGGGATGGGGTGGGGGGGGGGGGGGGGGGGGGGTTGTGTAAGGGGGGGGGGGGGGGGGGGGGGGGGGGGGGGGGGGGGGGGGGGGGGGGGGGGGGGGGGGGGGGGGGGGGGGGGGGGGGGGGGACACTGGGGGAGGGGGGGGGGGGGGGGGGGGGGGGGGGGGGGGGGGGGGTGAGGGGGGGGGGGGGGGGGGGGGGGGGGGGGGAGGGGGGGGTGCCGGGGGGGGGGGGGGTATCCGCAGTACTCTAATGGTGGTGGGGGGTGGGGAGCGGGGGAGGGCGGGAGGGGGTCGTAGGGGGGGGGGGGGTTGTAGGGCAGGGGGGATGGCGGGCGAGGGGGGTGGGGTGTGAGCGGGTGGGGGGTGGGGGTTTGGGGGCGGGGGGTGGGAGTGGGGAGTGGGGGGGTGGGGGGGGGGGGGGTGGGGGGGGCCAACAGTGGTGCCAGCGCTTACAAGATAACGGAGACAATACAGATCAATACAGAGGGAGAGGAGGGGGGCCGATCCATGGAGCTGACAATCTAAGAAGGAGGCCAAATCCTGGAAGCTTACGGGGAATGTGGGGGGGGAAAATTTGGGCTGATCCTAGAGCTTACAATCTAAGAGGAGCGTGACAAGCTGAGCGGGGCGGGAGGCGGGCGGGGGGAGGAGAGGAGGAGGGGTGGAGGGTGCCAAGTTTGGGAGGGGGGGGGGCCCGGGTTTTTGAGGGGGGGGGGGCCTGGGGCGAAATTGGGGGGGGGGGCCCGGGGGTGCTTGGGGGGGGGGGGTTTGGGGTTTTTAGGGGGGGGGTGAGGGGGGGTTTTTCCTGGGGGGAGGGGGGGAGGGGGGGAGGGGGATGTCCGGGGGGGTGGGGGGAGGAGAGGGGGTGAAACTGGGGGGGGGCGGGGGGGGGTTTACTGGGGGGGGGGTGGGGAGCGGGGGGGGGGGGGGTTTAAATTGGGGGGAGGGGCGGGGGCTGTTTGGGGGGGGGGTTTTGGGAGTTTAAACAAGGGGGGGGGGGCCTGTGGTTGGGAGGGGGGGTGTTGGGGAGTGCCCGGGGGGGGGGTTGGGAGCCCTGGGGGGGGGGTTTTGGGGGGGGGGGGGGGAGGAGCTGTTGGGGAGAACCCGGGGGAGGGGCGTCTGGGAGAATTGGGGGGGGGGGGGTTTGGGAGTGAAAAGTGGGGGGGGTTTTGGGGGAGGGGGGGGGGTGAGTGTGGCGGGGGGTGGGGGGGGGTGGGACGGGGTGGAAAGGTGAACCTGGGAGTGGGATGGGGGCTTAACGCATCTAAGAGGGAGGTTCTGATCCTGGAGCTGACGCTCTAAAGGGAGGAGTCTGGATCCAGGGAGCATGACAATCTAAGAGGAGGGGCTGATCCTGGGAGTTGACATTCTAAAGGGAGGTCTGATCCTGGACTGACATCTAAGAGGAGGCGATCCTGGGAACTTACAATCTAAGGAGGGCGGGCCTGATCCCTGACCGACAATCTAAGAGGGAGGGGGCTGATCCTGAGCTTACCATCTAGGAGGGAAGGGGCCTGATCCTAGGGAGCAGAACAATCAAGAGGGAGGTGGCTGATCCTGGAGTTACCATCTAAGAGGAGGACTGATCCTGTGATGCTTACAATCTTGGAGGGAGGACTTGATTCAGGAGCTGACAATCTAAGAGGAGGGGCTGATCCAGGGAGTTTACAATCTAGAGGGTAGGGCCTGAGTCCGGTTTTGGAGCTGACATCTAGGATGATGACTGATTCAGGTGAGTTTACAATCTAGGAGCGAGAGGGCTGGATCCTGGAGCTTTACATGTTTTTGTTAGGGAGGGCTGATTTTTAATAGTAGCGCATGGGAGCCAGTGGACAGGGATTGCTAGGAGAGGGGAGGAGGTCACTGAGTGGTACAGCCATGTGGAGGGGACTGTGGTGGAGAGGGGTGGTAGGACGCTGAGTTGGAGGCCAGAGGTAGGGATTGGCAGAGAGGGGGTGGAGGACACTGAGTGGAGGCCAGTGTGAGTGATGGGCAGAGAGGGGTGAAGGACACTGAGTGGAGGGGATGATGGGGGGATTTTGGCAGAGAGGGGTGGAGGTCTCTGAATGGAGGCAAGTGGGAGGGATTGGCAGAGAGGGGCAGAGGACACTGAGTGGAGGCCAGTGGAGGGATTGGCAGAGAGGGGTGGAGGACACTGAGTGGATGCAAGTGGAGGGATTGGCAGAGAAGGGGTGGGAGGATGCTGAGTGGAGGCCAGTGTTAAGGATTTGGCAAGAGAAGGGTGGAGGACACTGAGTGGAGGCCAGTGGAGGGATTGACAGAGAGGGGTGGAGGACACTGAGTGGAGGCCAGTGGGGGATTGGCAGAGGGGATGGAAGACACTGAGTGGAGGCCAGTGGAGGGATTGGCAGAGAGGGGTGGAGGACGCTGAGTGGAGGGCCAGTGGAGGGATTGGCAGAGAGGGGTGGAGGACATTGAGTGGAGGCCAGTGGAGGGATTGGCAGATACAGAACGGTTAGTAAGGTGGAGGAGATCTGGCAGCAGCATTATTGA